CTAACAAACCTCAAGATAGATCACCGAGTCAGAGTCCTTTTCAGGACTCCTCAATCTTCCCTCTCTCTCACATGGTGCACCCGCAAGCCTACTGTAAATTTTTCTGTTGTTGAGGTTTTCTTGCTAAATTAATTTGACTAAAAACCTTGCTAAGGTATTTGATTTGAGAAAAAAAAACGATCGAGTCCTCATGGCAAATTTCAGTAGCCTGAGAGGAAACATCCCGAAGTTCCTGACGGCCAGTCTGCCTCTGGTACATGTGTTATCCATTCACAATTATGTATATATTTCCAACTGCAAGAGTGGTTGTCATGACTTTTCATGTAAAGTATTTACGGAGGGTGGACATATTATATATATGATATTCAATTGCAATAGAGTGTTACGCACGGGTGTAAGTGAAATTACAATTGATTTATTAAGTGTCAGGACTACTTCCCTCTAGAGTTTCAAATCTCGAACAATTTCAAGGAGGAGAAACCCAAAGGGACACTTACTCCTTGACTACTATTTTTGGACTACTAACCTAACAAGTATTCATCCAATTATTCTTAATAGAAACCTAACTCTGCATAATACTGAGAGGTAGTTTGACCTGTGATACTTTTCCAGAGTGACTTGCTCGGGGTACTTGCTATGAGTGTATTGCCATCAGGGCTTTCTGGGTAGTTTTGCAAAAGGGGCTTTATTCCACGAATGGGTATGTTTAAACAAAAATGTTGTCTTTCTGTAGTATGCAGTTCTGAAATGAGCACCCCAGTATGTGTCGGTATTCCTCTCCTCTACAATAAAGGACCAATTATGTTTATTTGTTTTCCGTGTCCGGAAAATGTGATGAAATAAAGATACTTTATGATTCAAGGCTAGTCATGTATAATGCCTGTGAATATACCTTGATATGAACTGCATACACAAAATATAAAGTGATTCACCATTTTGAATAAGGGAGTTTACAGATAGCACATGGTACAAATGACCCCAAATATCCACAGATCTTTTACACATGGAGAAGTTCCACTTTGAGCATCTTAGAATAATAACTGCCAAAGTCCTAGATGTGCTTCATGAATACCTTTTGTTTGACCTCTTGAAAAGAATACTTCAACCTGCGTATCATAGAATGTACCGTTGGTGAATAAATGAATAATGTTACATAACTTTCATTAGCGCATATCCAGTATTCATCTCTGTGGGTTTTACCATTTTGTTACAAATGACCTTTATCTGCCCATGCGCAGATTGTATCTGTAAACTCCCTTATTGGGGTGTATGTTGTGATTGGTTTTAGATTATGATATTGATCTCGTGAATTTGGGGTTCTCTTGTTAATTCATTGTTTGCTATCTTTGACAGCTTTGACAAGATTAATTGCAGTTTGTATACGTTTTTAAATTGCAATGGGAATATGAATATGAAATATATATTCAAAACGATTAATAAAAACAATGTGAATACCAACTTTCCCCTTCACCATTTATTTTATTGCTAAGCTTGCTTGTATACGTTTCTTGTTGCATACGATGATACAAGTGATAGTTACAGTAATGTTCTAACTTATTTTTCATGCGTTGTATCGGCATGATAACAAATTAACTAAGCAATCCCACAATTGAACGAGCTACAATACAGTTGTCTCTGAAAAAGGAAACACAAGCTTATATTCGTAAATTACTAAATAATCCTAAATGATTTGTATCATTAATGTATACGTTACTGACAAGCTCGTTTTCCTTTCTATCATATGACAAAAAGAATATGATCATTAAATCAAATATGACTGATTTAAGACAAAACGTGTCGATAGTAGTTGTTTTTAAAATCACATGATTTGGGAATATCTATGATCAAAACTCATCATGTAAAGCTTGATATTCTCATCTTACATTTTAATGATTTAAAGGCTAGCCTTACTACCTACCTTTCACACTTTATTGAAACAATATCTCTCAAGTTAATCATGTATAGGGTTTAGAGATAGTCTACCTTGGGCGCTATATGAACGTAAGTTATATATTTATATATATATATTTGTATAAGCTTTTATTTTATGTGCACATTGACCAAAGGTATAATTCAGAATCATCGAGTAATTTAACGATAAACTTGGTCCTCCTTTTTCAAGGACATTACGAACAATGAAGTTTATGCATACTTTAATAAAATCGCTAATCAATACAACCAAATAATCAACAGTAAAGTACATTTTTCTGAGTAAAATACGTAGTAATATCAATTTCGACTAATAAAATCTAAATTAAGAAGCACATGAAACTGTATAGACCGTATAATTACAGTATCTCCTATGGTTTTTTTTTCTTCATTACTTCTTCTTAAATTGTCTATATTTCGTCAAACAACGCAGGAGTACATTTATTTTCCCACGATATTTGCCAAATTTGTTTGTCAACTAAATTTGGTGTCGCTATATGGTCTATTATTGATAACGCATTGGCGTTCTCTTACAATGAAATGGTTCGATTCCCGGCGGAGACAATTTGTTTTCAACCTTTGCAGAACAAATTAAAAAGGGGACAGCAATGGAGAACTTTGCTTTAAGCTACACAACCGTCATTGTCTAATCTCCTTTCGCATTTAATGGATATATATAAGTCGTGCCATAACTAAAAATGACTAAAAATGAATTGAATAAACTAATCATCGTACCATCACCATCATCATTAAACTTTTTTGATAGGGAATGCCTTTCCTCTGAGTAATACACCACAAAATATCATATAAAAACAATCTTCTGATCATGATTACTTCGATAAGATACAAATAAATTGTACAGATATAATTTTGTCATTGAAATAACAATTATGAACAAAATTAAATATACTGGGAGAAGGCGGATGGGGGTAAGGTTCTATGTGGTCTAGTGGTTAAGGCATTGGCGTTCTTAGCCAGTGACCCGGTTCGATTCCCGGCGAAGACAATCTTTTGCAACCTTTGCACACACACAAAAGAAAAGCAATGGAAAATTTGCTTTGAGCTACACAAACATCACTGTCTATTTTCCTTTCTCATTATATATATAATGTCATGAATAAAAATGAATAAAATGAATTGAACAAAAATCATCGTACCGTCATTATCATCATTATACGTTTTTCTTCAAAATGGATAAATCTCTTCTCTGAGTAATACACCACAAAGTGTCATATAAACAAAATATTCTGATCATGAACAATTTAAAAAGGTTTATACAAATTGTACATATCTGTTTCGTCATTGAAATGTAATAATAAATCGAACAAATTAATAATAGGAAAAAAATCATAGTACCATCACCATCATCATTATATGTTTTTCTTAAAAAATGGGAAGACCTCTTCTCTGAGTAATACACCACAAAGTTTCATATAAACAAAATATTATGATCATCAATACTTTTATAAGGTTCATAAACATTGTACACATGTAATCTCGTCATTGAAATGTAATAATAAATCGAACCAATTAATAATTGAAAAAAAATCATCTTACCATCATCATCATCATTATACGTTTTTCTTCACAAATGGAAATACATCTTTTCTGAGTAATACACCACAAAGTATCATACACAAAACAATATTCCGATCATGAATACTCTGATAAGCTTCATATAAATTGTACAGATATAATTTCTTTTTTGAAATATAATAAAGATGATAACAAATAGCAATCACCTGGTTAGCCGAATATATTGTGACTAAATAATGGTAATTGCAAAAAGCTCGGGGAAGGGGGGGGGGGATTCTTTGTGGTTTAGTGGTTAAGGCATTGATGTTTACAGCCAGTAACCCGGCTCGATTCACGGCGGAGACAATTTTATTCAACCTTTGCAAAGAAATTTAAAAAGAGGACAACAATGGGGAATTTTTTTTTATGAGCTTCACAATTGTCATTGCCTAACTTCCTTTTCTGTGTGGTTTAGTGGTTAAGGCATTGCCGTTCACAGCCAGTGACCCTGCTCGGTTCTCGGCGGAGACAATTTTATTCAACCTTTGCAAAGAAATTTAAAAAGAGGACAGCAATGGGGATTTTTTAATATTTTTTTTATGAGCTTCACAATTGTCATTGCCTAACTTCCTTTTCTGTGTGGTTTAGTGGTTAAGGCATTGCCGTTCACAGCCAGTGACCCTGCTCGGTTCTCGGCGGAGACAATTTTATTCAACCTTTGCAAAGAAATTTAAAAAGAGGACAGCGATGGGGATTTTTTTAATTTTTTTTTTATGAGCTTCACAATTGTCATTGCCTAACTTCCTTTTCTGTGCGGTTTAGTGGTTAAGGCATTGCCGTTCACAGCCAGTGACCCTGCTCGGTTCTCGGCGGAGACAATTTTATTCAACCTTTGCAAAGAAATTTAAAAAGAGGACAGCAATGGGGATTTTTTTAATTTTTTTTTTATGAGCTTCACAATTGTCATTGCCTAACTTCCTTTTCTGTGTGGTTTAGTGGTTAAGGCATGGCCGTTCACAGCCTGTGACCCGGCTCGATTCTCGGCGAAGACAATTTTATTCAACCTTTGCAAAGAAATTCAAAAAAAGGACAGCAATGGGGAACTTTGTTTTTGTATGACAATTGTCATTGCCTAATTTCCTTTCCCATTATATATTATGTCTTAACAAAAAATGATAACAATCAATTGAAAAATACGTTTAACAAAAATTGACCTCTTCTGTGGGTCATACACTATAAAGTATGGTAAACAAAACAATGGTATCATAATTAACAGCATCGATAAAATACATATTAATTGAAAATACATAAATTCATGATTGAAATATAATAAAGATGATAACAAATACCCACACCTGGTTGCCCAAATATGTGGTGACGGTATATTGGTAATTGCAATGATCGGGAGAGGGGAAAGGGACACAGTCGACACCCAGTCCAGTCCACCCCTCCTCTGCCTAGTATTCCATTGGAACATCATGTTCTCTTAAGACCTTATTCTTGCTTTGATATTATTGGATAAAAGGCCTCTGTGTTTGGTGCTACCCTCTGCATCCTTATATGGCAGCATCATTGTTGGTAGAAGTACCATAGTCGTTACCGTCAGTAGCTTTGCTGGAATTAGTTGAATCTAGAGTAACACTGACCGTGTCAGCATCCGTGGTGGAGAGAACACCATCACCTCTCTCAGTGACATTTGCGACAGATGCATCAAGAGGGAGACTGACCGTCACGACATCGGTGCTTGTTGCATCACGATCCGTGTCCTTCTTCTGTTCCTCGGTGGAACTCTGGATATCTTTGCTCATTGGTGGTGTGACTCCTTCCTCAACCTGGCTAACATCATAGGTCGGATTGAACCTACACATAGGGTCGGGTTTGTCGTCTTTGGTAGGCAACAAGTAATTATCCGAGGCTCCTGGACGCAATTTGCTTATCACGCCAGATGACGAGGATATCCCCGTCGAGCTTACCACACCGCTGGAAGTGCTTGCTTCTTTCTTTAGGAACTTGTCGAAACAAGTTAGCCCCCATTTCTTACGAATGAAAGGCTTCCGGACGCAATAGAGTAGAAAGATGAACAATCCTTGGAAGGAGTTCAGGACGACGAAGATTGGCTGAGCCACCTGTTATAATAACAACAGATTTGGCATTATAAATAATAATTAGGTATATGGTATCCTCTCTCATGTTCTTCAAATACTATACATCTACAGAGGTATTGCTGGTGTATCTAATCATTATAACAATATAGTTCTCAAGATACTTCTAAAATAGATATATACCACGCAGTTGGAATTACCTGACTGAATAACGGGATTAAAAGAAGATATCCGGTAACCCAGGTCAGACCGAGCAGAAGCAAGATGCAGATCGCGTTCTGGACGCGTTCGATAGTCTTGCGACGTTCTACCTTAGCCTCTCTTTTCACCCGACCAGCGATGTTGGCTGACCGGAGCAACTGTCGAACCACCAGGACAAAGATGACAATGTTGATGAGGAGGATGATGGACATGGGAATCAAGAGACCACCGATTTGAGCCCAGAATTGTAGAAAGCATCTATTGATAGTAAATATGCATTTTGTAAATAGACTGAATTAAGTCAATCAATAGTGACTATCTTAGCGATAGTTTTTTAAAAATGTCAATGGTCCTTGAAACATTTTAACTGAGAAAATGTCATTGTGATGATTTAACATAATCTATTTAATGGAAAGTCCAAGCGTAATTGTCCATACGCTATCAACAATATCTGAGATTTTAGTATGTATGGTGACTAAATTCGCTTAGTGGCCTTTATAAAACTTGGATCACTATACATACCCGCGAAAGTGATACTTAAATACCAATTTCAAATAAAATTGCGTACTTGCTAACTTATAAGTTACCAAAATACCAAATACCTAAAAACCAGATTAAATAATAATTATAAAAAAAAAGGTTCTCATAGACCGCTTTCCACCGAAGTCTCTAAGCGCTAAAGGCAAGCCTTGCCCTGGAATTGCATCCTACATGATCAATACAACCCCTGCGCCAGGTAAGAAACACGATAACGTACATAAATATAATTTTACTGAATCCGAAATTTGAAGATCATTAAGTATAACTAATGCTATGCAATACAATATTCCAACTAAACTTTCAAACGTTACCACTTACAGATCATCATGAGCATAAGAGTCTCTAGCAATAGCTCCAGTAAGAACCACGATAAGTGCAGGAATTCCTGTAATGACATACGTGTATAAGGAAATACGATTGTTTTAGTAATCCAAAATAAGCCTACATTAGTTGTGGGCCAAGCTCTATCCTTTCCCCGTTTTTTGTATAGGCCTACTTATGTTATTGTTGTGCTGTCCAGCTCACAATTTTTTTAACGCGGTCATGGCGGCACTATACTACTTTAAAAAAAAGATAAAGATATCTCGATTGTTATACTATCCGGGGTTTCTTTGTACAAATCACATGCCATGTCGAATGTCGTTAATAATGGTTGTAACGAAAGAATTACACATAAATGGCAACATTTACGAATTTATGTGCACTGTTGGACTATAATCCGTTTGCAAAACCATGCAGACACTTCATGTTAATAGTAAGCAATATTCCCATTAAAAAGATATAATGAATCAAATATCGTACCCCATGCAGCTAAGGAAGCCTTGATCATGAAATTCTGGATGTAGGTGTTAAAGATCTTCACGATAATAAGGTAGGTATTGTACCCTTCCACACCCATCCATGCAATAGAGGACAAAACGAAGAAGTGAACTAGGGCCGTCAGCAACCCACAGGGTGCAGCTTGGACCTCACGATAATCTCTGGTAGAATCGAGAGAGATCATGATGACAAATGTCGTGTAGAGACATAGCAATGTCAGGCACAGACAGATGAAGATCTTGTTAGCCTGTTTGGTCCTCAAATCCCTATCAAAATTGGAACATTAAAATAAGGTTAGGAAAGCGTCGAAGCAATATTGTACCATACATGTACAAGTTTACCATCACCTGATTGGCAACACATTAACAAAAACGCCAAACAAGAAGAAAACGAAATAAAATCGAGGGGAAATGTTTGTAAAATGAGGAGATCACGTGGTTGTGCTTTACTTTTATACATGTATCTCTTTTAACACTGGACACAACCCTCAAAATGGCCACGCGTGTTGAATATAAAAATTATCTGAGTGTAACTATTTAGGACGGTATCAAATGGGAGAATAGTACGCCAAAGATGTTCGAAATTAATATGCTTTTTATTCTCTGCGAACCGCACACCAAACGGCAGATGGTTTGCTTTACGAAGTTGATAGAGTATCAATGTAGAATATATTGATATGCTACAAACAAATTATTACTAATTGCAACCTATTTATGACTCTCGTCACACCATCCCTTCTTCACCAAGCAACTTATAATATTATAGAAGTTTATCTTCTTGTTTTTCCATTTCTTCTTCTTCTCCTCCTTCTCCCCCTCTGTACATTACTTCAAACAGAAGTGATACCAAACAGAACTGTCCTGCAGGTTTATACGTATTCCATCTCATTTGATCAAGAGATACTTTTATTAAAAAGGTGGTTATTTGAATTTGCATGATTATTTAATGAATTTTAAAAATGCATCTGTTTCATAGTGTATGTACCTATTCCACGTTCAAAAGCTTCCAAATAAAGTTGAAAATAAAACGACCAGAGACTAATTACACATTCTGTCTCATTTGTGTTACATTAATGATTGCATTATTTCTTTTTAATGGGCTCACTTGTTCCACAGGTAGGTTGCCAATGTGACAAGAAGACTGAAGATAGAAATACAGCATCCAATGTAAGTCAGGATGTTATATGCCTCGATTAATGAACCCTCCTGTCCATGGATATCCTGTAACATGAAAAAAAATTGAGCCCAAACTGAAACATCTACTTCGAATGCTCAAATAAAACTGATTATTTTACGATTATCTCTCATAAAGTCTATGTGTCGTTAATTGAAAACTGAGAAATCTGGGGTTCATTATAATAAAAAAAGTGGTGACACCTCGTATTACTTATGGAAACAAAATAATATCACTTTACTACCTTTCACTCGAGACACCACACCTTCAAACTTGTTTTGATCTCAAGAGTGAAAATATTATTCATACCCAATTGAAGACCAGCATTACAGTGTGCTAATTATTATAAAAATCATCTATGAAAAGTTAATTATTATACATCTTACGAAAGAGTGTTTTATCACAAATCATTTGGCATCATTTTTTGTGGCATGTGTTCATGCTTGGATGCACAGGAGGCGTTGTTTGCGAAAGTGCAAAAATCGATTTGCGCCAAAGTTGCTTACGTGATGTTTAAAAAAAACAATTGGGATTTGGGTATTAATTCGGTCTTTGCAGATCCAAATAACATCCCTAACAAAATTAAGCATGCCACACATATCAAATATCGAATATATAATATCAACGAACATTTTGTGCGCGCGCGTGTGTGTGTGTGTGTGACTTTGCGTGTGACCATATGCAATGCATTTCATTTGATACATTCAACTCATTCTCTCACTCCACTAATCCGCTTTTCACTGACCATTATAACAGCGAAGTTGGTAAGATGATCACACGCACAGCGCACGATCTCCTCATCAGAGCGATCATCGGATGATGTGATTCCAGAAACAAGAACACATCCATCTTGGGACCAATCTTCCTGCTCCTCATCCCAGAATGAACACATGGGATTCACGTATCCAGACTATAACAAAAAAAGTAAGACCCATAATAGAGTTAGTTAAAAAGACATAAAGGAAGAATTAATGACAACTTTGATTGGTTTAGTTTAAAGCCCATTTGTCATGAGGGGAATCAAACACAGGAGTAAAAAGAAAAAAGAGAAAAGAGATTGCTATACATATAATGTTTACATTTTCCCCTATATATATATATATATATATATACATATATATATATATATATACATATATAAATAAATATATAAATATATATATATATATATATGTCTAAAATGTAATTATCTATAAAAACTGCTAATGGCAGATTACAAAATAATAAGTGTACTTTGTTAAACAACTTTATAATGACATTTATTGTAATAGGTCTTACCATTATTGTAGTGAAGGTAAAGTTGATGAACTCGGTCAATGCTGCAACTTTCCCTCTTCCAATACTGAGAGAAATCACGGGAGAGTTAGACGATCGATTGAAGGCTTCATTAGCTGCACTGAATGTGCGCAATGATTTAGAAATAAACAGGGCTGGAGTTGAAAATACATTGAAGTTGACCCGGACATATTCACCACTGCCATTCGACGGCGATCCTGAGAGTGGGGCCGTGGACGAAATGACGGATGCAACTGAAGGTGGAATGTTGACCTGAGCGATGATGCCTGGTCTTGTAGCAATGACGTCATCGCGGTCATCTTGGGTCGGAGCATCGATGGTGATATTGGCCTTGGTCAGGTCTGAAGGACTGGATCCAGCTAGCGAAAGCACAAGACCACGCATTATGTCGTCAGCAGGTACACTCTGGACCTGTTATGTGAATTCAGATTTCAATTATTATTACTATTATTATTATTATTATTATTATTATTCGTATTATCATAATCATAATCATCATTATTTCTAATATTACTATCATCAAAATTATTATTATTATTAATGTATTATAATTCGGTTGTATTTACAAAAATATCAATATTACTATTTTATTATTGTAATTATTATTAGAAATGGGGAACCTTCGCCTTGAACTATTCTCCCTTGACAAATTCGTTAAAGCAGATCAGTTGAGGTGTTCAAAAGTAATCTAAAATCGTTTATATTTGGATTGGAATATAATTAATCATTCCCTTTTATTTCATTTGTCAGTATTTGTATGAAATCCAAATGTTTTTATTTGATTTCTCCTTCGCAATGGCGCATTACAAATCGAACATTATCATCATCATCATCATCATCATCATTATTATTAATATTATTTGTATTATTGTGAATACTATCATTAATAACCTATTTTATTAATATTATTTTAATTCTTTTTCTATTAGATTAATTGTTATCATTATTGTCATCATTATTATTGTCATCATTATTATTATTATTTTTATTATAATCGTTATCGTTGATGATTGAAAATGAAACGATTGCAACCATGCACATAAGTTCAAGTAAGGCATCCCACAGATTCGAAATATGAAGAATCATGCACACATAAATGCACAAATAATAATGTTGTTTGGCAGATCTACACAACTGCATGAACAAAAATGGTGAAAGTGTCGCGCCTTGTTGGACACCAGATTGAATAGGACCACAATAGATGAATGGCATTGTCAGGTTTTTAAACCAAATATTTATTTTGAATATGCATGCAAACAATTATACAACTTGGAAGTGAACTTCAATATTTAGTATACTGGTGGATTTCAAATGATTTTTTCGTAGCCTATGATATAAATGTAAAATCACCTGTACGGCTACATTTGGCTGCTGAATGAGGAGCATCCCACCATCGGCAACCTCAACACGACTGATTTGTTCCTCAAAAGCCTGGACAAATTTAGTTATTGCCCCATCTTCTGCCTCTGCGGCTTCAAGTTCCTCTGTTTCTACCTGAGCTATATTGCTCACAATACTCGTTATAGAGTTTGTTACCTGTCAATTCAAACACAAAAGATGAAGATGGTTTATTCTATAGTAGGATAAATTTGCCAAATCTCGGAAATGAAACTGAATGACGATAGGATATTAAATAATTAAATAACATGAAAGCCTTAGCACAGCTGTTCTTTTAAAGCCGTTACACAACTTCTGGATGAAGCAACTGCCAAGGTGTCAACATGATATGAAAGGGTAGTAAGAGACCTACATCTGTCATAGAACGAATATGATATTATACCCCAAAAAAAAAGTCTGATACGGAGCAAGGATTTAGTAAATTCTTAATTCACAGTAGTTTAGCTTTAAGGCGTCCATTATTATTAAATTCGATTATGATATTTACCGCTTTCACATCTATGGTAATTAAATACATGTACCGAAAGGAAGACTCCAATTTGTTTACCATTAGATGATTATCAGAACATAATAAAATAATTGAATTCATAAAAAATATGATTGGTCTGGCATCGTGCAGAATACCTCTTCGCTAGTAAGATTTTGATGCACAATGTTTGATGTTATCTCTGCCACAAACGTGATGTCATCTGATGTGATATCTTCGATGTTGGAAGTAACAGACGATACTTGCTGGCTCACTTCACCTGCGTTTTCTTCATCTACGATTACCTAATATTTGAGGGGAAAATATCATTACAGCATGTTTATATTGAGTGATATGACTTTCTCTCCTTTACCCTAATGAGGCCGAGGTATTTCAAGGATTTCGAATACCGGGGGGGGGGGGGGGGCATTATGACAGGGGCTGCTCGAGCAGGGGGCGAGGGGGGGGGGGGCAATTCGTGACAAAATATTTAGAGGGGCATAATCGGGGGGGGGGGTAATGAGCACTATTTTGTTTTACTAAGCACCCCCTTCCCCCTTGAGGAAGAAAAAAAGGGAAGAAAAATGGAGAGGAAAATTGATACACATATTGAATTAGTAAAATGAACATCATGGCAACAAAACTTTTTCATCATTTCTCTTCGTTCATTATTTTTCGCAAAATATTCAAAACATACCTACTTTGCAGTTTTACAGTATTCAAATGGTTGGGAAATAAATTGTTTGGTATATTTAAACACTTCAACGGATGAACTACATGGTTTGTTTAAAATTGAAATTAAGTAAAAAAAAAACAACACATTAATTGTCATAATTATCAAATAGTAATCGTCTTTTTAAAATGTTATGGGTATAAAACATAACAAGTTTTCTATTGTTTTTTATATGTAGGATGAACAAGGATGGGTCTCACTTAGTGGAATAAGAGTGTAAACCTGATGAACAATGACAAAGATCAAATGATTTTGAAATGATTATTGATTCATCGACAGGCTAGCACACTTGCAAATGGAGAAAATGCACATTTTGATTGACATATGATCAATAATTTTAATTTGACACCCCTACCGTTGGTCCGAATTACACACATTTGGTATCAAAATGTGCGGGGGAATTGACAGAAAAGTAATAAAACATGGATTCGAAAATTAAAGGGGTCGAGACGCAGCGCAAAACATGTTTACTCATCAGGATTAAGGTAACATATTTAAGGTAGTATATTTGTAAAGCGCTTAGAGACATTTGTATTAAGCGCTATATAAAAAATTAAATATTATTATTATATTATAACATAAAATTAGCGAACATGTTTCCCTTAAAATCATATTTGATCAGGTTTTCATGATCAGTGGCATGTAAAATATACTAAACACAATTGCATTACATATGGGGGTTCTCAAAAAAAGTATCTTCTCAATGATTGAAATTTGAAAAGAAAATTCCAAAAACCTGTGCAATTTCGGTGAGAATATCTGTGACATTTCTAAATGGTCCGCAATTATCCACAGGTTGCCACTGGCTCCGGGTAATGCCATCGCCGATACAAAGAGCCCGTCCAATCGGTTCATTAACTGTTCGGTATAAAAATAAAAAGACACATATATTTATCATATCAAAAGCACACTGGCAAACAATTATTACCAGATACAAAAAAAGAAGGGGACATACTAATGAAGTAAAGAAAAACCGTCTACTATTGAAATTTCCTCAAGTAATTCATGACTCTGGAACTATTCAAAACATTCAACTACACACGCGGATGTTGAATATTATTTTGGTCGGAGGGCCAGTGGCGGATCCAGGGGGGGGGGGGGGGGGGGGGGCCCGGGGGGCCCGCCCCCCCCCCCTTGAGAAAAAAAAAATCATGTAAAATCACGTGATTTTTACCTTTTTGGGGGGTTGGGCCCCCCCTGACGCTCAAAAGGGGGGGGGGGGGGGTGCAAATTGAATTTTTTTGGAGGATCAAAAAAAAAAAAATGCGCTCACTACCCCCCCCCCCCCCCCCCCCCCCCCGGTTTTGCGTACGTTGCACGCATGTGAATGCTGCGGTCGCGTCGTCCGTAGTCGTATTATACCCGATTGGCCTCGCGCCATATCTGAACAAGCCTATAGGGAAATTATCATATTGATCGTACGCTTCCCCTAATTAAAGATGAACGAAAGACACTCAAAACAAACCTTGAGTAGTGTTGAATGGACACATTCCTGTTGAATTTGCCAATGTTCCGTTTTCACCCACCGGAAATTCGACTTTTTCAAAGCGAGGAGATATCCAGGAGATATTCTGGCAAATAGCTACACAAAAGAGAATGTAATGTAATCACTATAAATAAGAATTCAAATTATTTAGAGAAGTACTTTAAAATGAAGGGCCAAAAGGCCGCAGAAACAGACAACACCCACACCCACCTACACACACAAACAGTCGTACACGTGTGTAAATATATAAATGTATAATTATATATATATATATATATATATATATTTATATATACTTTACGGCGTCATTACACGAACATGTGAAGTGAACAAATTGTTCATTATTAAAATAGGCATGGTCATTAGCAGGACATTTTCGTGTCCTGTTCACGATTGAACATAGAAGTAATGCCCTCTACGTACGTTTGAAGGCATGTAGAGGAAACCGACAAGAAACAAAGGGTTTAATCACTAGTCATTAGTTTAATTGGTTATATTGTTTTTAATTAAGGGTTAGGGTAAGGGTTGCGGTTGCGGTTTAGGGCTGGGTTAGGGTAAAGGTATCTTGCGTTTTAAATTACCTTACGTACCGATGCAACACGTCCAGTTAAATGGCGTATTCGGCAAAGCACAATCCCCTCCCCTTCGGAAGCCAATATTTAAACAAATGCTTGGAATGAGTGGTATCGGCGGGACAAAACAAAATGATTACCCCTGGTTTTTCGCGTCATCTACCTGTCCTCCCATCAATCTAAGGATATTCCATGTCCTTATACACAATAGACTGACTTTCACAATTACATGTATATGAATGAAATTGGTACCGTTATCTTGAACTGAAATGGTGTTTGAATCGAGAAAACCGTTCGATTCATTGGCTAGACTGTCAAGAGATAGACCAATAAGATCTTGTGTCTCCATTGCCGTCATATTGGTCCGCTCGATATAGATATTCATGTCAGCTTTGACGCTTCCTGGTCTTAGGGCTCTGCATACTACTGATAGACTCTGCAACCCAGTATTGGTTCGGACGCCTTGCTCCACCTTTACACAGTTACAAAATAACAAACATAAAAGATGAAACGTTTAATAGATATTTCCCCTTCTAAGGCTGATATTCTTTTGTAACTCATTAAAGTATACGTCATAACCGAAAATCCTCCGCATGCAATATTGTGTCCATACTATATATATTCATAATAATATA